TGTCTATGGATGAATTGGATTTAAGTAAGGCAGAGCTGCACGAAGTCCTTAGCCTCTCTCTTCCAGAGTCATTCAAGTCTAGTGGCAAGACAAAAGTCTAGATGACTGCTGATGGCTCAGGATGACTTTGGCGGGGAAGTCTTCACTTGAATGAATTTGCATCAGCTGCCTTCATGGCTTTCAATGTCCATTCCACGAGGAAGTCTTCACTTGACATACTTGGGATAGACATCCCAATAACTCACTCAGGGGTTTGAGGCTCGTTCATTACCCTCAACCTGGTTTAGCCCATCCGCTGAGATGGTTTTACTGGAGTGTGGCCGCTACACATGCTCCACCTTGTTGGAGCCACAGTTGAGAGTTGGGTGGCAAGTGGACACCGAAGATATATGAGCAGCTCTGAAAAGGGCTCAGCAAACCCTCATACTAGAAGTATTAGTCCTCCTTGAATACTCTATATACCTCAGGCAGGATATAAAATAACTAGCACATACAGTGACCAGTGTTCCTATCTCCTAAAAGAGTTTTTGCTGTATTTGTGCACCAGGGCTTCTGAGAAGGCAATAAGATCTTCAGATCTATGGACAGAACCTTAGGCAGAAAAGGTCAAATTCCATGTTCCTATGTACATGTGCACATCTAGATCAAGTCAGATTAATTTTTCATGCTATTTCCACTACTGCCTCTTCCACTCTTGTCACCACCTACCCCTGACCTTCTAAATTTCTATATTGAATTCATTGTTCTTCTCAACCTCTAATGTTGATAGTGCCTGTGATGTGACAGTGAGAAATACAACATATTGGAAAGAGGTCTGGATTTGAATTAGAAGCCCTGGGATTGAATCCCAGCTCTGCTCATTCCCCGTGTGACCTTGGACAAGTCTCCTTGCCATAGATTTTCCTTATTCATTAAAGAGAGGGTTGGGTTAGATAATGTTCAAGGTCCTTTCATTTTTTTTCTTTTTTTTTTTAATTTATATTTTTTTATTTTTTCCATACGCTTTTGAGTTGAAAATTTTTCTCCTTTTTCCTCCCCCCAACCCTCCCCAAGATGGTGCATAATCTGATACATTTACATACCCATTAAACATATTTTCACATTAGTGAAGTTGTAAGTAAAAATTAAAACCAATACGAGGAACCATCAGAAAGATGAAACAAAACTCAACAGAAGGTAAAAATAAGTGATAGCAATTCGACTTCCATAGTTCTTTCTTTGGATGTGGACAGCATTTTCCATCCCGAGGCCTCTGGAAATGTCTTAGATCCTCATAATGCTGAGAAAGGTTCAGTTTAACAATCTTAGTCATTGCATAACATGGCTGGTATTGTGTACAAAGTCTTCTTGGTTCTGCTCACTTCACTCAGCATCAGACCATATAAGTCTTTCCAGGTTTTTCTGAAGTCAGCCTGTTCATCATTTCTTATAGCACAATAGTATTCCATTACATTCATATACCACAACTTGCTCAGCCATTCCCCAATTGATGGGCATCCTCTCAATTTCCAATTCTTTGCCACCACAAAAAGAGCTGCTATGTATATTTTTGTACATGTGGGTCCTTTTCCCATTTGTTTGATCTCTTTGGGATATAGCCCTAGAAGTGCTATTGCTGGATCAAAGGGTATGCACATTTTTGTAGCCCTTTGGGCATAGTTCCAAATTGTTCTCCAAAATGGTTGGATCATTTCACAACTCCACCAACAATGTATTAGCGTTCCAATTTTCCCACATCTCTCCAACATTTATCATTTTCCTGTTTTGTCATGTTGGCCAATCTGATAGGTGTGATGTGGTACCTCAGAGTTGTTTTGATTTGCATTTCTCTAATCAATAACGATTTAGAGCATTTTTTCATGACTATAGATGGCTTTAATTTCTTCATCTGAGAACTGTCTGTTCATATCCTTTGACCATTTATCAATTGGGGAATGGCTTGTGTTCTTATAAATTTGTCTTAATTCTCTATATATTTTAGAAATGAGGCCTTTATCAAAGACTGGTTGTAAAAATTCTTTCCCAATTTTCTACCTTCCTTCTAATCTTAGTTGCATTGGCTTTGTTTGTGCAAAAACTTTTCAATTTAATGTAATCAAAATTATCCATTTTGCTTTTCATAATGTTCTCTATCTCCTGTTTGGTCATGAATTCTTCTGTTCTCCATAGATCTGATAGGTAAACTATTCCTTGTTCTCCCAGTTTACTTATGGTATCAGCCTTTATATCTAAGTCCTGAACCCATTTTGACTTTATTTTGGTATATGGTGTGAGATTTGGGTCTATGCCTAGTTTCTGCCATACTCTTTTCCAGTTTTCCCAGCAGTTTTTTTCAAAGAGTGGGTTCTTATCCCAGAAGCTGGGTCTTTGGGTTTATCAAATAATAGATTACTATAGTCATTGACTACTGTGTCTTACATATTTAACCTATTGCACTGATCCACCTCCCTTTTTTTTTTTTTTTTTGGTTTTTAGGCAATTGGGGTTAAGTGACTTGCCCAGGGTCACACAGCTAGTAAGTGTCAAGTGTTTGGTCTGAGGCTGGGTTTGAACTCAGGTACTCCTGACTTCAGGGCCTGTGCTTTATCCACTGCGCCACCTAGCTGCCCCCACCTCCCTATTTCTTAGCCAGTACCAAGCAGTTTTGATGACTGCTGCTTTATAATACTATTTAAGATCTGGAATTGCTAGGCCACCTTCCCCTGCATTTCTTTTCATTAGTTCCTTTGATATTCTGGACCTTTTGTTTTTCCAAATGAATCTTGTTATTATTTTTTCTAACTCTATAAAATAATTTTTTGGTAGTTTGATTGGTATGGCACTAAATAAGTAAATTAGCTTAGGTAGGATTGTCATTTTTATTATATTAGCTTGGCCTACCCATGAGCAACTGATGTTTTTCCAATTATTTAGATCTGATTTTATTTGTGTGAAAAGTGTTTTGTAATTGTGTTCATAGAGTTCCTGGGTTTGTTTCAGGAGGTAGACTCCTAAATATTTTATCATGTCTACAGTAAGTTTAAATGCAAGGTCCTTTCTAATCCTAAATCCTATGACCTAATGTGGCATTTTAGAAATTCATAAAGATCTAGTAGACTGGTTAATTTTTGTGTGTGTGAGTCATAGACTCCTTGGCAGTCTGGCGAAGCCTACAGACCCCTTCTCAGAGGGTTTTAAATCCATAAAATACATGAGTCATCAGAAAACCAATTATATCAAAATCTAAATTTCAAAATGTTAATAAAAACAAGTTTACCCCTAGGTTTTTAACCACAGGTGAGGAATCTTGTCTCTTAGAATATTCCAAGGATTCTCAGTAATCAAATAGATTTGACTTCAGGTAATAATCAGATTAGACCCTAGTCGTGGTGCGGTAGGGGAGTGGACAATTAAAAAAAATAAATTAAACCTTCCCCAAGTCACACAGAAATGTTTCTGCATCTCCTATTCAACAATTTAACAAATATTTATTAAGCACAGACTCTGCGAAGCCATAATGTAGGTGCTTTCTGTGGAAGCTTAGGAGTTCTGAGAAGAGAATTTTCCAGCCCCCTGCAGGGCTGTTGAAATTCACCACTGACTGGGTTAATAGGACCCAGCTTTTGGAATGGCGGGGCAGTAGAAGAGATTAAGAGATAGTCTCAATGAAAATTAAGTCATTAACAACAGTTTATATTTTTCTAGTTCTACAGTTACATAGTGCAACACTAGCTCATTCAGTTTTTCCCTTCTTACTCCACCTCCTCCATGAAATGGGGGAAATCAGGCTGGCTCTGCCTGGCTAGAGTTCCCAGCAGCAAACAGGTGACCACAGATACTACCTACAGCCAACCTTTATGAAGAGGTGGCAGGGAGCTTTCCCACCTTCTTACCCTATACTGCAAGCTCCTCACTCTTGGGACTTCACTCCACAGACTGAAACTCTTATGGGCTTGTCTCCTATAGCATAACAGGATTCTACATCACCCTGGGGAGGTTTCACTTAGGAACTTTTCCTCTACGAAGAAGCTTGCCAGTCACTTCATGCCTATTCCAGGGGACTGAACCGCTTCCTTTACAATCCCTTCTCAGCCTTTACTAATGTCCGTAAAAGAGCATGTTAAAATTCAACACATACTTTGCCCACCAAATATGTATTATATATGTATACACACATAAATGTATGTATGCACAAATATATGTACACACATATTTATCTATTCACCTATATGTACACACAAATCTATATAATAGGTCCATTTGTGTATGGGCTACCCAGGTGGTACAGAAGTCAGGAAGATCTGAGTTCAAATTTGGCCTCAGATGCTTACTAGCTGTGTGACCTTGGGCAAGTTACTTAACCCTATTGCCTCAGTTCCTCCTCTGTAAAATAGGAACACATTAGAGAAGGAAATGGCAAACCACTCCAGTATCTTTGCCAAGAAAATCCTATGGACAAAGTCCATGGGGTCATGAAGAGTCGGACATGACTGAACAACTACAACATATGTGTCTTTATTGTATACAGCGTGTATATATCTCATATATATTGTGCATATATGTATGTATGCCTCTTCAAGAAGTTTCTGAGAGCAAAGTATTTCATTCGTAGGCTTAGAAGTAGTTGCTTTAACACTAACAGCTGAGGGGAGGTTCTCTTTTTATTACCACTTCTCTTGAAAAAATAGTGATTGTTATTTTGTAGGTTAACTTCTATTAACAAAGAGGAAATTCGTGGTGACACCTACTCAGGATTCGATTTCCCACTTGTTTGTTCCCGGAGGCACGCACTTACTGTAATTAGACAGTTCGCCTCGTACTGGAATAATACACTACAAAGGATGTCTCTCAAACCTCGGGAGTCTGGCCTTGAAATGGATTCTAAGCAGTTCCCCTAGAGGGCGCACGGCATACAGTTTTTCAACAGGCAAGGAGACTCCGCACTCTCCCAGGTTCCATAAAAGGGGAGGAGGCGGATCAGTTTCTTTCTCTCATTGAGAAAGAACAGGATTGGAAGACGCGGCATATAAAGCCAAGCAGAAAGCGTGAAACAAAGCATTCTGATCGGAATTGGATTGGGGAGGCGAGGTGTGGAATCCGGGATATAAAACTTGTTTTAAGGGGAGTAACCAACCTTTTCCACTCCACAACGCCTGTGAGCTTCAAGGGTTCTCTGGCTACCCTCTTCATTTATAATTTTTATTTTTTTTGCAAAGATTTCTGTACATTTTTCTCTTAAAAGAACATTTCTTTTCCAAGAGAAAATAAGGCAAGATCAATGAAGGAGAGAAGAGCCAGTCAGAAATTAAACAGTAAATCTATGATGGATCCTAATCAGAACGTGAAATGCAAAATAGTGGTAGTTGGAGACAGCCAGTGTGGGAAAACGGCGCTGCTTCATGTGTTTGCTAAGGATTGCTTCCCCGAGGTACGTCTACCTTTCCTTGCCAGTGTCCGGGAGGGAGTCAAAGCTGCTAGAGATTAGTGGGGATTTTTTATTTGATTGCTTTACTGTCCTAACCTTCTTAGTTTCCCCTCTCCTTCACCCGTTCTTGTAAGATCCCTTGAAAGGAGAAAGGAGTAGGGAAGAAGGCACTGGGGCTGGAAGAAGCCTGCCGATTAATCTCCTTGCCGTTAAAACTTGTCTTTCATCTGGAAAGAAGATGTTAGGGTTAGGGTGGTGTGATATGGGAGTGATTTTTTAATGGGGGGGAGGGTCAGTCTGGGGGGGTTTTTGAGGGGGGAGGTGATGTTAGGGAGAGATTTGGTTCCTCGTGTTTGGTGCCTGTTGGGTTGCGTGCGTTTTTTTTTTAAAGGGGGAAGGGAATTTTGTTGGTACCATGCCTTTTAAGATAACCCTGTTTTGTTGTATTTTGTTTTTTTTTTCCTTCTTGATCTATTTCCCTGTTTCTTTCCTTGTATTCTCCGTGTGATTCCTTCAGAATTACGTCCCTACAGTATTTGAAAATTACACGGCCAGTTTTGAAATTGACACACAAAGGATAGAGCTGAGCCTGTGGGACACTTCGGGTAAGAAAAGAAACCTGTATTCAGACCGGGGCTTGTTTCTTTATCTGAGGGACTGGGGTGCTGGGGAGTAGGGAATGCTGGATTTGAGATTAGGCGACTTTTGTGGTAGAAGCTGGGCCAATGCCATGGACCCCTGAGGTCAGCGCGCCCTCTGGCATTCCCCCCAATTCCCCCCCGCCCAAAGCTACAGTGCCTCCTTTAAGTTTTTCCTCCTCGAGTAATCCCCGCGTTCCGGTCGAGATGAATTCAATTCAGCAACAAATGCCTTTTATTTCTTTGTGGGGAGGAAGATATAAGGCGGGGGGAGGGGAGAGGAGGAAGAGCCGGGACCTAAGACCGAGTGCTGAAAGGAGAAATTGGAAAGAAATGATTGTGGGCTTTTAACTATCCATGAAGTAACCCAGGCACTCTCGGACCAGCACATGGAAATGGGCTAAAATCTCTAATCCTAAGGCTTGGTGATCCAACTTGGGGCGATTCTGCTAAGATCATTGGCCCGCTTCTCCCACACACCTAAGGACGGGGGGGGGGGGGGCGTCATTGAACCTGCAGTGACAAACAGCGAGTTCCCACTCTGTACTATACCCAGTTATGAACCTGGGAACACCTTCTCTATGCAACTTGATGGCTTTCTAGGAGGATGAGAGGGAAAACCGGGGAAGGATGGTGGTGGGAGGAGGAGGAAAATCCCCAAATAGGCGCGGTTACGTGCGGAATCCTAACCTACCAGAAAGTAACATGAGCGTAAGCAATCTCTGGTATTCGTGACGATGACAGGAAAGTATGTGCAGGCGGTTGTACAACAGCGAGGTGCCGGGAACGGAGTAGTGGGGGGAGGGAGAGAGAAAACTCCGAGCTGGAGGGTTTCCCTCCTTTTAGGGGCTGCTTTGCAACCTGGAATGAGGGGTAGAGCATGAGGCCCACTCCAGAACTCTAGACTAGGAGATGATATATACAGATAAAATAATCCCTGCCTGCGCTGTGTGTGTTATCTTTACGTTCTGTTTGAATTATTGGGATGAGTCTTTTTAAAGGGGATAATTTAGTTCAGAACCCAGGTGCTACTTTCTCACCTCCCCACCCTCTTGTCATGGCTTTTAAAGTGGGGAGGGTAAATAACCAAGTTTTGGGGGCAGTTCGCGAATGGGGAGAAGAAAAAGGATGGAAAGGACTTGGATGTGACGGGGAGGTGTCTCCTGGAGTTGGGGGGGCACAGTGGTGGGTGATTGGTGGCAATCTGGAGGCGGCTTAGCCTGAGACTTGAGCACTGTCCCCTTGCCACCCTCTGGGAGCACTCCGAGTGTTAAAGTCTCCCAGTACCTTTGCGAAGAGAACCTGCACCGCGCGCCTGAGCTAGGCTCTGGGTTTAAAAGAAAGCTGCGGACGCTTTGAGATGGGAGCTAGCGGGGGTGGAGGCCAGGGAGCAGGAAGAAATTGAACCAAGTGAAGATCTGGGAGGTCGGGAACGAAACTGAGCTGCCACGAGGATCGGGCAGGGTGGGAAGCTGAAGTGAAGACTTAACTAGGAGACAAGTGCGGGCATGTCGGATCTGCCCATGAGGGCTATTTGTAGGTGCTGCCCTGAGGAGTAGGCGGAGGAGACTCTGCTTATTTTTGCTGGTAGCGGTCTAGCTGTAGACCTTCTCTGGCAGTGTGGTCAGCCCTGATCTTCAGTGTGAACCAGAATACTGAGGGCAAGAAAAGGACAGAGAAAGGGGCTGGCAGAGGCTTCCTGCAGTGATAAAGCCCGCGCATGCACAGTGGGGGAGAGAAGGCAAAGTCTAGTCCCCTTTCCCTAAAAGCCTCTCTCAGCTGCAGTCCGTGCCAGACTCCGCTTTTGCTACAATCAATCCCAGCCCAGATGGGCAGCTTTTCACTTTCCACTTGGAGAGCCAGCCGCTTCCCAACTCCTTTCCATGTGCTGAGGGGGCCGGCAGAGGGAGGGAGGGGTTGAGACCACACTGTGCCTTCTTTCTCCCTGGGGATTCCACTCTCCTCTGGGTTACATAGTGAGAAAGCAGCAAGAGAAGTAGTGCTTTTCAGGTCATTAAGAGACGGGTATTTTTCTTTATTTTTCTTTTTGTCATGTCTAACATCCTCTCTCAGAATTCCCTTCCTGGCTTTTAACCCAGAAGTCCTGTTCTTGTCTTCTGAGGTTCTATGACCCCATGAAAATCAGAAATAGTGGATAGAGCTGGCCTGGGGCCAGGAAGGCTATGATTTAGGACCTGCTTCTGATACATCCTTAACTTCTCTGGGCTTCATGCAGCTCATGTAAGAGTCCAAGTTGCAGAAAAGGAGCCTATCTGAATTAGAAAATTTCTTTACGGAAAGTCACCTATACCAATGAAATGTTCCGATCTCCGTGAACTTAGCCATGTCTAGTGTGTAGGAAAACCAATTCGATGAATGACAATTAGCCTTGACAGACACATTCACTTCTAACCCCCATAGAATGCTAGTGTTAGAAAGGACTTTAGAGGTCACATTATTCAGAGTTTTAGAGTTGAAAAAGAAGGAATCTTATGATGTTAATTATAATATGACTGACTTTTACACAGTACTTTGAGAATATACTGTCAGATAAAGTAATCCTGCCAGATAGGCACTTACAGATATAATCTTCATTTTAAAGATAAAGAAACTGAGTCTTAGAGTAGTTAAGTACCTTCTTCATAGTCACACAGCTGTTAGGAGTCAGAAGTAGGATTTGAACTAAGATTTCTGACTCTAAAGTTACACTAACAAGGATGCACTATTTTCCAAGATCTCATGGAGCTTTACCAAAAAAAAATTTTTGTCTGTTTGCTTTTCTCTTCTATTTATACTCCTAAACAAAGTGTCCAAGTGCTACTATAACAGATATCTCCGACCTCCACATTTTTACAGATTAGGAAACATGCTCAGGGAAGAGGAGTCACCACTCAAATTTCATATTCAATAAGTGGCCCAGCAAGGACTGGTAGTTGGGTGTTTTTGTTTCAGGTCCAATGCTTTATCCTGGGCAAACTGATTTGAGTAGTACCCATTATTATGCTCCCTTCCCCCTTTGTTCCAAGGTCACTAAAGGCAATAAACTGACAAAGAATAAGAAAGCAGTGGGAAGGTAGTTTGCAAGGCACACGTGTTGGCCAGGGATCTTTCTTCATTAGGACAATTGTTTGGCTTCAGCTTTTAGATTTTGTGGGTCACCTCTCAGGGCTGAAAGTTCTAGCCTTAAAAGTCATCAGTGTGCATTGAGCCAGATTAAGGGAATTTTGAGAGTGCAACTAGCTGGATTTCTTAGAAGAGGGAAAGAGGTACAAGAATCACTGCTGTTTCTTTTGGATCTACTGTAAAATCAAAGGGGTTTTTGCTTCTCTATTTCCAAAGATAAAGAAGGAAAGAAGTAGATTTATTTCCTGGGTTTAAGGAAGACACATATTTTGTGGGCAGTCTTTATATTACTTCACTTGTGAAGATTAATATAATTTAGATGTGAAAATTTCAGAATGCCACATTTTAGACTTTTGACAAACATGCAAATTTTATGAATGTTGATATTTATTTATGCATAGAGTCACTAAGCAGATTAGATTTCCCTGGTGTTTATTGCTGCTCAGAAGCTGAATAATCAGTGCACAAAGAAACTACATTAGGTTGGCAACTTTATAAACATTGCCTTTCATTAAATTAAAGATAATCACCTGGAATGAGATCTGTATTTTTATTCAATGAAGCACAAAGCTCTTGTGTGTTTAGCTTCCACATCAACTGAGATGAAGAAAATATCTTTTTAGGAGTTAGTAATGGAATTTTAGGTGGAATTTAGATCTATAGGAAAAAAAACAGTATTCACAAGGGGAAAATATGAAAATGAATGAAAAGTTATTTAATGACAAAGTCACCAAGCTGTGCTGCAATTCTTTAGAGTAGGCTATCCCACAAAACAAGTTTGTCATTCATAGGTAGAATGAACACTGTTAATGGTTCATTGCACTCAACCTGGAATCATTGCATCAGCAAGCAGTCATATGAAGTAACTTTACTATTTTGTACTTCCTTTCAGGCTTTTCACAACAAATGTTTGAACAGGATTATTTTGTGACAAATGTTTGACATTTTCTTACCCACCAAGATCATTTGTTTGTTTCAGGTTATAAAAATAATTGCACATCTTTGGTGCCACTGGATTATAATTGCTGATTACCAACTGTTGTCAACTGAGTTTAAAAAAAAAGCAAGCTAGATCTCTGAATGCCTAAAAGTTAGATTTGGTTATTTTAAAACTTTTCAAAATTAGCTCTGTAGACCACTCAGCTGTTCTTTTTTCTTTTCCCCCCAGCCATGCACAAATACTATTTGGAAATAGGGGGAGAGAATCTGAAATGAGAAAGAAAAGGTGGAAATGTAGGGTGTCTGGATTATTTTTTGTGTCAGAAAGGAGTCATTAGGTCTGACCCGATCAGGGAGAAGGGAGTAAAACTCTCACTGTTTTGAGGTTTATGAAATATAATGGATTTCACTTAGAGTATTGAACTTGAAATAATTCCATTTTTATTTGTGAGCCCTGAAAAAAAACCAGTCCTATATCAATTTGCATTGTTTTAGCCAGGGCTGTCCAGTGGATCCATTTCCAATGGTAAGAAGAAAGTTGTTTTCTAACTGAATTTACCATAAGAGATAATTTACCAGTCAGTGTGTAGTATCCTCAAAGAGCAAATACAACAGATGAGCAGAACCTACTCGAAAGACTGACTGACCCATGGTTCCATGGAAACAAAACAAAGCATTTTAGCAGGAGTTCTTGAAATGCATGGTACTCAGGTTTTTAGTGTACAATATTTCTTTTTCACTGGTGGTAGAGAGAGCCACCTTATAATAGTTGATCCACAACCTAAATAATTTCCAAGTTTAATTAAGTTTCTATAGGCATGGGTTTGTGTTTTAAATATGAATCTGCTTTGTACAGCAGGGAAAGCATTGGCTTTGGAACCAGAAATCCCATTAAATTTAACTGT